TTGCAGCAGCAGGAAGGAGCCTCGCGTATAATTTCACATGAAAAGCTACTTTCAGTCTGAGAGACATTACTATGCATTTATGGAGCTCTGGCTCCTGCACTTCATTGTGGCGTTGCCATGGAGACGACGGTGTCCTCTTGTTTGCCCGTCTCCCCTGTCCTGTAGGGCCACGACACCTGTCCCTCTGTCAGCGGCCACAGAGAATATTAACAAGTGTCTGATTGATGGGGACAAATTCTAGTGATTGTTTCTACACAGTGGCTGTCCACATTCGTACAGTGTGACATTTTTAAATCTAATTTAAATTATCAAGACACTTGAGGGACAGATAATTTGGAAGAAATGTCCAAGCTTTTTCCACCCTATTAGGACAAGCGAACTCACAGTGAGTGAAGTAGGAAAATGGTAAAGAAAATGTCTATAAACTGGCATTTGTGCAAACATATTTATTGGCAGCTAAGTGCAGGTGAACGATGTTTTGTTTGTGTGCGAGTTTCTGTTAAAATATCTCATGAGCCACTGGATACATTTTAAAGAAACTTTCAAAAAGTAGTCACTTGTTCATCTACAACTGATAAAGTTTTAACAACCTCATTCAAGATGGCTGCCACAGCCAATTGAACTTAAAATCACAAAAAATAGCTATAACAGTAATTGTTTAGATAATGAGCTGAAAATTGGTGGTTTTAGTTTAAAGTGAGCACAAGTAGCCTGTTTAGAGCAGTCTGTACAAGATATTTGTTTAAATTTTTGCCATTTGCTTTTTGGAGGAACTTTTGTGTGTCTGTTAGAAAGCTATCTCATAAACCACTAAACAGATTTTAAAGAAATTTTTAGCAAGTAACCACTGAAATCAACTCTATAACTGATGAACTTTTGTAGGAAATCATATTCAAGATGGCGCCCACAGTCAGCTGACCTTAGAAAACACTAAAATGTCTCTGTCTCAGTCACTTTTACAGATATCGAAGTAAAATTTGGTGTGGTTGTAGCTGAGAGTCGTTCACAACACATAGTCTGAGCTCTGCCATTTAGTGTAAAACTCTGGCATGGAAGGCAGCGGGCGATGAACATTCCTTCGAGGAATGTTAGGTCTTTAATTATATCCGCAAAACAAACATGTTGCTGAATTTGCCTTTTGGAAATGTTTGTGTTCAAACACTAACCTTGCAAAGACAAGTTCAGACCAATTTTAGATAAAACATTGAATATTTTAACACACAAGGTGTTGAATGTCATTTTGATCACATTAAGATTTTTAAATATAACTTTAGTTTCTATTTATTTATTGTTCTAACTAAGGACGTCTAGAGATTAATGAATTTTTTCCAAAGGTCACCAGTACGCGCCGTAGAAGGCAGTGTTATTTTACAGTAAATTAAATCTTCTTTTTGAAATGAAGTGTCAACCACTGAGCTGATTTTCTGTTCATATGTTAAATCTGAAATTGGTGACGACCAATTTAAATCTTGTTCAACACAAACACAAACAAATAGCCCGACACACGACACAACAGACATCTGACTGGAAGATATAATTCAGTCCCTCCAGACAATCAGTGTTAATGAAAGAGCACCTGTGCACACTCCTCTTCTGTTTCACCAAACCAGATGTCTCATGATGCTCAGCAAAGGAACTTTAAGTTGTTTTCGAGTCATGTTTTAGATCTTTTTCGCAACTTTGATGTCAAAACAGACCTAAGTCCCTAAACATAACAGCTACAAGCAAAGAATGTGCATTAGGTAAAATGATTTCAAATAAAACTGAGACCAACAACAAAATTACACGAAATATCTTTTTTGCCATTTCACACACCGCCCCCTGCTGCTCGGTGAATGAAACGCAGGTTTCTGTGACTTCCACATTGGCCTCATTTCTCAGACTTGGACGCTTTCCAGTGAAACTTACATGATCAATTTTTTTTTTGCAAGATTGGATTTTTATTGGTTAAAATAATTGTCAATATAAAAGCAATTTTGTTTTCAATTTCAAAACTAACAACTTGTTCATGCCACCGTGTCATGGTTTTAATTAGTCTGAGTGAGAATGTGAGTGTGAAAATTTCAGCTGAAACTGCTACAAACCATGCAGGATGCATTTTGCAACAAAGAGGTGCTAAACTCCGACAACAGGGACACATTAGAGTTACTATTAGCAGTAATGATGGCAATGAAAGGATCTGTCACACTAAACAGATGGAAACATAGAGAAAGACGGAAAAGAGAGAGGGAGGGGCTGTGTGCGAAAACACTTTAGATTTTGCATACATCCCCAGAGAAGTGGCTTTTCTGCGCTCCTCCATGAGGCTTAACAGTGAAGGAAAGCATGGAGCCCATCCCTCCCCCCACAGTGGATTATTCCTTTGACACTGTTAAGCCCCCCCACATACTCCCACGTTCAGGCAGTCCTGAAACACATGTATTCATGATGAGAGACACTTTATGCACTGAACATGCACATCTTTCCTCCAACTCCCTCCCTTATCTGCATCATCTGTTCTGTTCCCTCTTCAAATACCATCATATGCTCAAAACAGCAACACACTTACACATAAAGCAGGTGCACGTCTGTTTATGTCATTTTCAGGTGCTCAGAAAGTCAATGAGAAAAATGATCCGTGCCACCTCTGTTGGACTGGAGGAGCTGGTCCTGTTATAAAAGACAAGTTGATGTGCCCTCCTGAAGGAAGGCTTGTTTGTGTAGAGTGTCCTCAGCTGGGTTTTGTGGCATATTGTGTCTCTGCATGAGCATGCATGAAAGCATGTGACGGAGATTAGCTGCTCATATTTATTTTCTCAGGCCGCCTGCACTTTACCGTATGCAACTGATTCACTGAGGATGAGAATGTCTGTGATTTTATATTTTCCGACTCTGGCTTTTATGGTTGATGAAGTGGGCACATGCGCACATGTAATTTTCATTGTGAATAACGGGACGTTTTATTTCAAGAATAAAGTTTAAGCATGTCAACTGGAATAGCACACAATTAAATCATATTGCTGGATAATTCTCATACTTAAAAGCTCAAGTTCAACTTTCTTTATTGTCATTCACATCCCATGTGGTACATGAGGTGGAAGAAAATTGTGCACAAGGTCCCAGTTACACCCAAAAATAGCAAAAATCTTAAGTATAGAAAGAAACAATATACAAGGATCTATACGCTAAATGGAAGCTAAACGATACGCTAAAAGATCTAAGATATATGCTAAACACTAATAATGTAAAATAATAAGGTATATTAAAGAGCAGCCCGAACATGAGTCTGCAGTGAGTAGATGGGTGTGAAATCAGCAGCATGAATAATCAGGATAATGGATAATAATAATAATAAAGAAAAATGTACTCAACAGCCATAAGAAAGTCAGAATTCAGAGAAATGTAGAGGAAAAAGCTTGAAATATTACACTATCATTTATTGGCTCCTCACACACTGGAAGGGTCCAGAATATTGAAAACTGAACTAAAGGGCTATTCAGTTTGAATAACATTATTTTAAAAATTACTTACAAGGAATCAGAATGTCCACCAACGTGATGAAAACGTGCTTATTTATGTTGACGATGTCTATTTGAATAATGTGTCATATTAATGAGTAGGGAAATATGAGTAATATTGGTGCTATGCTCAGAGATGAATCCAAATTGCAAGACTGTCCATAAAACTTGTCTTGAATAAGCTTATTCAAATAAATCACTTGTGTCCTTTATTTGATTATGAAGTTAAAATCTGGACGACATTTTGAAATAGATACCTTTTTGGATGGATATTTGCAAAGTTTGTTCCAACTTGAGTCACTCTTAGGCTGTGTGCCACTGTTATTCTGATATTTACAGAGAAAAGAGAGGCTGATTTATGGCTCGCTGGTCTCTAAAAAAAATGTCTTCCATAAACGGAGGAGGCGGAAATTATTTTGGTTTTCAAATATGGAGAGAGGCGGAACGTACTCGAGCCACTCCATCTGAGAAGTTGCACAACAGCAGCCTTTGTTTTCACTCTGGGGGGAGATAAAGGCTCAACAAACCCTGAAAAATAGGTTGTCACGCTTCAATCGGGAGGTTTTATACCATTCATGCAGTCACAACAACTCTTCTGACATAAAACACATGCAAGATAATGTGAGCTGGAGTTGGAAAATTAAAGAAAAGTGTCTTCTTTTTCATCTCTCATATGTTTTGCCATCACGCTGCGATGGTTTCTTCATTAATTTCTACTTCTAAAGCGCCCTATGCTTTTGTCACAGCATGTGTTTACGTCTGTACGTTCAGAGAGACGATCTGTGAAGCTGAAGGCTCAGGTGTTTGATTTCTGTGCCCACTGACACGCAAACGAAAAGTGGAATGACGTCAAATTTCATCTTATTCAAACAGATCAGACGCACAAAGACAATTCACAACATGGCTTCCCTCAAGTTTGTCAAGTTTTTGGGAATATTAAGATATTTTTAGAAAAACTTCAAGTGACTCCAACATCTGCACGTTGCAGGAACCAGACGATAAATCAACAAAGTTCAGCTAAGCTGCAGCATCTACAGACGGCCTTTCAGTTCACCCTCAGCCCAGATCCAAATCCACGAGGCCAGAGAAGATAATTCAGACTGATTACATTAAGACTGACCGCCTAGCATCAACCCATGCACACTAATGTGGTACTGGAATCTAAACAGATTTCACAGAGTCCATTGTCAGTCCAAATGTGGCTAAATGTGCTAACCCTCAAATGCAAGCCCATGTTCACGCACCGCTAGCTAAACATACACTGACTGGGCCACATCTAGCAGTGATAATTACATTTTGAAAAGCCACTGAGCCCTTTTACCAGGACTATTTATCTGGAGGAGAACGAGGCTTGCTTCACCCTTGCTGCTGCTTTTATGCTAAACTATGCTAAGCTAAGCTAGTCAACTGCTTTCTCAGTTTTCCTGTGCAGGTATGAACTCTCAGAAAGGACGCTAGCAGTTCTACTTGACTCATGCGCACATTTCTGTTGTTTTCCTGCAGGTGGTTCTTCGGCGATTCCCGAGGCCCCCGCCTCTGACCCCCCAGCACCCAGTGAAGTGGTGGCATCAGAACCAGCCTCTGCTGCTTCTTGTTCTGAAGCGGCCACAGCGGAGCCCTGCAGCGCCGGCCGAACTCAAAGCCTTCCAGAAACGGGCTGCAGCACAATGCTGGACCACGACACCCCCCTCCCGCCTCCTCTGACACCACCTCCGCCTCCTGCAGCCGCAGACATCGATGACCTTCCACTTCCATCCCCCCCGATCTTCCCTCCTCCTCCAATGCTGTCAGCCAAATCTGCTTCCATCCCCAGTCCTCCTCCTCTTTCGTGTCTTTCGCCCTCACCGCCCCTCGTAGAGAGCCCTCAGCGTCCCACCACCCTCAACCTGAGGACTCTCCCACGGCCCACTGTCAGGGAAAATGGCGGCCCCCTCCATCAAATGGTTGAAGAAGAGGAGGAAAGAAAATTGCTGGAAGAGGATTTGAAAAAATGCATCGAAGACTTCAAAAAGATCCGCTTGCCCAAAGTGTTTCCAGACCGTAAGAGGCACTGGCAGAGCGACTTGCTGAAGAAGTACAACGCTTAGAGAACTTTCTGTGGCACCGCGGTGAACGAACTTGACAAACACTTTCAGACAACCAAGAAGTGAAGCTCATATTGCTCCGATTTGAACAGTTTGAGGAGTGTAATTAAGATTATTTACAGTAGACCGGTCCGGTAATAGCTTTTGAACCTAATTGGTTGATGAAGTTAAGTGCTCAGGCTGAGCAGGTAATCAAACTAAGACAAGAAAAGAGCGTCCCCGTAGAGACTGATCTATTTTTAGTCGTAGAATAATGAAACATAGTTTAAATAATTTTCCTTACCCTCAGTCAAAGTAAACCACGTGCTATGTCATTTATTCGAGGTTTCTGCTCCTCTCTCTGAACCACGTCCCTGATCAAACAGCTGGAAAATGTCGGCAAATTGTGAAGCTTAAAGCGTTTGACCATAATGACGCAAAATAAAAGAAAGAAGTGAAATTTCTGGTGCTAATCTCGACTCGCTCACCTCATCAATATTACATGCGTGACTTCAAAGCCTTTCAATACACAAGCTCCACGCTTCGCTTCGTTTCGTGTTTATCTTCCAGCCAGCAATGGAAAGAATTCAGAGAAAGAATGGAGCGTATCAGGAAGCGGAGTGGGTAATTACGGGCGGCCAGAATGTGGAATAAGAATGACAGTAATGGCTACATGAACCAGTGCACAGCGCTGTTTGTTCCTCTATCTGCTCATCCAGCTTCTTTAAAGAATTACCAGGTGTCTTTGTGTCGCTATTTCTCACCGCCGTTGTGGAAAAAATGTGATAAGTGAGTCAAAATAAAATGGCACAATGCCTATTATTTGTCTTTTCTGTTACCCCTGCACTGAGGAACGTGCTAAAAGTGTAGCATGTGCTCGTGTCTGTGCAGAGTGTGGAAACGTGCAGAACTCGCAGAGGTGGATTTAGTCTTTTTGGGGCCCATGATGAAGCACCAACATGGAGCCCGTCACTTCCTTACTTTCTCGTTATTTTCCAAACCATCTAAATAAAAAGATTTCTGTCGTTTTTTTTTTTTTTTTAGAGTTGCAAGTAATCTCAAAATCTCTTTTCATTTGGTTTAAGAGAAATAAAATCCTGGTTCACTTGGACTGTGAACATTTGACGTTTCTGGAATAGACTGGGCAAGGCATACAATACAACTTTATTTGTAAAGCACTTTAAAACAACACCGTTGGCCAAAGTGCTGAGTTTTATCAAACTTTTTGTGCTGTCTAAAGCGTGCTGAAACAAATGTATCACTATTTAACCCATCCTATTATTTCCCCTCATTTTTTTTACTAAACAAAAATTAAAAGCACACACAGACCTTTAACAGCTGCAGACGACACTGGACACAATTATTTTCTTCTGCTTCACTTAAAAGGGTTAACCTGTAAATTTGAATTTATTATGACCCACCACCATTAATGGAGGGTGTATGTGTGTTTGTCTGTTAGCACAATATCTCTTGAACCAGTGGACAGACTTTAATAAAACTCTCATATTGTAATCACTGGATATACATCTACAGCTAACTATCAGATGGAAAGTAATCATTAGAGAACTACAGTTGATTAAGTTTTAGATTCAACTCAATTCAAGATGGCTGTCTAGGCTAATCCTTAAACACAGAAGTGGCTTTAACGCAGGTAGTTTTACAGATCGTGAGTGTAAAATATGTATTACTGTACAGACTGAAGGTCGTCTTCTCTTGTTGCAAACTGAAGCTAGCAGGACTTGATTTACAGGAGCTGCCATGTTGGGTCTTTGTAACCAGAGTCTGTGCTCAAGTGATGAGGTCCTGCCTATTCCCCGACACACCGCCACGGTGTTACATGACCTTTCTTCTAAGCCGTTTTAAAAAAATGTATTTCATCATATTAGAAAAATTATATGAGAAATTATTATTTTCAATTCAATTCAGTTTATTTTTATAGCGCCGCGTCACAACAGAAGTCGTCTCAGGGCTCTGAACAGAAACATTCATATATACCAGGATTTAAAGTCAGTTAATAATGCTATTTGTAAAAAATAGAATACTATAAAATAAAACAGGAAGGTAAGCACTATGTGGATCAGCAGGAGTCAACTCCTAAAAGTTTATATCGGAGGTGTATTGCCGGTATTTATTTATTGACAAATGTCTTGTTTGTCTGCATGGAGGGAGCTGGACCTAGAACCTTCTGGAGCCGGCCAACCCAACGCTTTGTCCCATTCTGGTTTCAACTTTCAGGTTCCCATTGAAGGTTAGATACACAGTTTATGACGTTGACTAAGAATTGGTGTGGTAGTGGCTGAATCTGACGCCCACTCATACTCTGAGCGCTAACAGATTGCAGAAGATTAAAGCAGCATGTTATCCATAACAACCTGTTGATGGAGTGTTTAACGTTGCAGTTTAATATTTTACCTTAAACTCTGTGCAGCTTCAAATTAGGAGCCGTGGGGTAGACGTAGTGGGAGGCACATGCAGAGGTCATGCTAGGAAATGAGATTGGGCCTAAATCTCTTCACAATGTGTTAACAAAGCCTGATTGATGCACCTTTGTTGGGCATTACTGTCTTGTCACAAAACACAGTTCAAGAAGGGATTTTATAACAATAATATCAAGGTAATACACCAAAATACACCAAACTGAAATATTACTATGGGTTTTATGACATTTAAACACATTTAATGGCAAAATAGGGTTATTTTTCACAATTTTTATGCCTGTTAGAAATAATTCACAAGGATACTGAACAAAATACTGGCACATGTTCTAGTAAAAGTATTTAAATAGAAGAAAATGCCCAATATGATGAGTGTATTTAAACTACAGATATTTCTTTTCTTTTTTTTTTTAGTTTGCTCTGAATTTTTTTAGTGTAGAGAACCAGATAGCTCTACAATCTTTGCTCACCTATCCCGCTACAGTAAGTTGCAGAATCTGTTTGTTGGCTTCAGTTGAATTTACTTTACACTTCAAGTCACAGTTTGTGACCTTCAGCGTTTGCTTTTTGTTGGTTTTAGTATTAAAAACTACGGATGCACGATATTATCGGCATGGTAACGGTATCGGCTGATATTAGCGTTCAAGTTCAATATCGGTCATCTGCCATTCCATTAAAATAACTCACCGATATAAAAGGTGCTGTTTTTGTATGACAACCCAGTGACAAGGATGCCTGCAGCGGCAGCACAACGTGATGACGTCACGCACGCCTACCTGATCTGATCACGGCAGAGAGGAAGAAGTCAAAATGTCGGCGGTGTGGAAGTTTTTTCGTTGAGGACGTCAGATTCTGAAGATTTTTGGACTACGTTGAGCCTCGCTACATCATCCCCAGTCTGAGATATTTTTCCGACGTAGCCTTTCCAGAGTTACAAGCCGTATTTTCCGCCATCATTGAGAAGCTAATAGCCGATAGCACTTGGGTGAGTTTTACCACAGACATTTGGACGTCATGCTAGCCCCGTTAGCATGATTAGTCTGATGACGCAATGGATAAACAAAACCTTTGAACTTTAAAAGTCTGTCCTTCATGCACAAGAGTGCAGAGGATCCCACACTGCAGCTAGGAACCTGGAACAAGCCTCCACAAGTGAGACAGCATCGCAGGTAACTAATGCTAATAAATAACATTTAACACTTTTCATTTAATATAAGTTAAAGTGATATGCATATCATATGGCTGTTACTGAATATATGTCACCAGCTCTTACAGCTGTTGCACATTTTTATAGCAAATAAGCCTAAAAAAGAGAGCTATGTTCTGACAAAGGAAAGTATATAAAATGTCGGTATCGATTATCGGCCAAATAAGTTTCAACATATCAGCATATCAAATATCAGCCAAAAATCCAATATCGTGCATCCCTATTAAAAACACTTAGTTAGGTAAGATATTGGCAGTGCAACGTTACATAAACTTTAAAACCTTGTTTTCTGTTCTCTTATGGACAAAATAATCTTCAGTCTTTTCAAAGAACTGAAAGTGTTGGAGTTGAATAGGTGCAGAAGAAGTTGCTTTAGATCATTCTCATCTGTTCGCTAAACGTAAAGAAGTGGGACCCTCGCAGCAAATTATTTTTCTATTTATAATTGTGTACCCACAGTGAACATGAATTTATGACCCCTTTTTGATGTCCCCACAGTCCTTTTTCCTCCTGAGACAAACGCAATGAAAAATGAGGACATCAAATTGACATTTTGTTGACATTCATAAAAATACGTGTTATTTGAGCTTTATAATGAACGAAACTCCCAGAGAACAACAGTCTCCACTACACTTACGATGGAACTCTGTGTGTAGCTTTGAAGATGTTTTGCTATGTTTTATTCCTGTTTTGTTCCATTTTTTTAGCCTATCTGACTCATTTGACCTGATTGGAGCCAACTTTTCTTTTTGGTCGTTATGAGCCCAGCGGCTCTCCGTTTAGTCCTAATGATGCTGTTTTATAGAGCTTCTCTCTGTGCTTTCCTTCCATCCTAATGCGGTCAGGTTTCTTCGAGTTTTCCGTTTGCGTTGAGAGTAGAGAAGCAATCCCCAAGTGCTGACTGAGAAGAACGTCAAACATTGCTAACCATCCGACAAACAGAGCAGTTTTATCACCTCCATCTTCTGAGACGCAGTAGATATATCCTCTTGCTCTGAGCAGCAGAGGATTAGCAACAGATTAGGGTTTGTCACAGTCTTAAAATGTCTTAACGGCAGGCTTCTCCTCCTGCCAGATAAACAATTACGACAATTTATTCCTCCGAGTCAGCCTTAACTACAACATCTCCCTGCAACATAAACAGCCAAGGCCTTTTCCAGTTGGCTGCAGATTGCTGAGAAATCTAGATGAAAAAGATTGCTTTTGAAAGTCGTCAGAGGATATTGCCTCCATCAGCCCTTTTTCTGGTATTTTTCATCAGTTTGAACAGCGACAGCATGCTGGCCGGGTTCCCGGGTTCAGAGGAGTGTCGTTACACTGTATGTTGAGTCAGAACACGCGCAGACGACTGAAACTGCGCTCTTAGATTTAAATGTCATGTTTACTGTTTCCGCAAGGCCCTGCCGTGTTTGAGGTCTGTAAGACAAAGCATGCATCCCAAAATAAAAGACTAATTTGAATTATTAAAAAAATAAGAGGAAGAAAATGGTTCATTTTTAAATTCTCTTTCATCTTTTTGTCCCCGTTTTCTCCGTTTGGAACAACTTTCTGAACCTTTGACTTATTACGGATGCTGTGTGA